GGTCGCGTCGAGCGCGTTGTGTGTGTCTGTTTGTCCTTGAATATATACAGGCATCATTGCCCCCCTCAAAAACCTCAATAGCAGTTCCTCCAGCGACATACAAATCCTTCGGATCCCAGATTCAGGACGAACACTTGATTCTAAATGGCTAACCAACATCAGCCTTACACAGGCCCGGACTGGACAGCATTAATCCAGAACGACATCAATATAGCCTCAATCGTGGAAGCTCCTCAGGACATACAGAGTAGCTCTCAGGCACAAGTCCCAACGACGGGGGAATACGAGCACATTGTCGGTCCACTGGTGTCCACCCAAAATGTGCCTGTCCATACAGACATGGAAAAACTCGTCCAGGCAAGCAATCTTGCCATGTACACGCCCCTGTCTGCCCACCACACCCGGACGATGGGTAAATTCCAGAAACTAGAGTCGCAGGTTGACGATGTAGGGCGAATGCTAGCACGGTGTAATGATGAGGCTAGAGAGCGCACGGACCTGATCTTGAAGACCATACAACAGTCGCACGAAGCTCAGCATGCGAAAATGAAGATGATGTCGGATGAGATGGAAGCATTGCGGAGGGATGTGGGGAAAAGCGAGGTTTCTGCCAATTCTGGGGAATCCATCTCGGCTAGATTGGCGGGCCTAGAGATGGACGTGCAAGAGGTGGCAGAGCGCGTTCGAGACCCAGAAGCGTTCCGTAAGCATACTTACCATTCATGTCTTTCGCACCTTATATAACGGCTGTCCTGTAGTGCCGTCTCGGTCTGTTGTTCGACACGAAATTGGAACAAGTCCCCATGTGCCGTACGGTGAACTTCCCTCCAAAGTTGACGGAATGGCGCAGACAGAAGAGGAAGAAACCCCGCCGGAGCTGTCCCAGCTCTCTCGTTGTACCACAGCTGTTGCAGGTAATAATTATATTTGGTTTCTTGTATGCATCAATAACTGTGCTAATTGAAAATTTCCGGTTGCAGGTGAAGACAATCCATCATTGTTCCCGTCTCATGAGGTGTCCCCCATGAATAATCGCAAAATTCTGGACCAGTTCGCGGCTGAACTACATTTGAAGTCTTTTGATAACGAGCCAAGTAAGCTTAGGTCTTTGTATTGTCTATGTTCATGGAGCTTATTTTAAAGTACCGTCTGCAAGTATTTCGCACCGAAGTGATTAGCCGAAGCTATCTTGAAACCCTGCATTCTCGATTCTCTGATCAGCCGTCATCCCCCAGTCCAGAGTCTTTGATAACTTTCAGCTGGTCTGAAAGTGGCACCCCCCCAGACTCTGTGAGCCTGACTGCAGGTTTGTGGCTCCTCTTCCTTGTGATACAGCCACTATTCTAAGTCCTTTGCGATGAAGTAGGGAGCACCCCTCGGACGACTACTTCCGGTAAACTTACAGTGGACGACGAGGAATCCCTCGAGACCTTCCGACATGACAATCCCAGTCTCAACCTTGAGTTAGAAAACGGACGACTAACTCCGCTATTCTCACCAAAGTGCGAGGAGGGTCCTCTGCCAACTCATGACGGCTTCCGTTTCTTACCGTCTCCAGCCATCACGCATATCACGTCCCCTGACGAAGGAGGCGTCATTCCTTCCAGAACCACGTCACCGTTCTTTTTCGGTGATAACCAGTCACCTGCAAGAAGTTTGTCCCCACTTTCTTCACTTAGCAGCCTTGCCGACAGCCAGGAAGACGAATATGATGGTGTTACTAGCGCTGGTCCCTCGAAGGATCAGAAAGACAGATGGGATCGTCCTCAGGGTAGCACAGGCAAGCAACGAAAGGGACAGGACACCTCACAGAGAAAGAAGCGCAGAGGAAAGAATGGGGATATACAAGGCCCCTCGAAGCGACGCAAGAGTCTGGCAAAATCGGCGACAAGGTTTGATAATAATCATTTGAAAGAAGATCCGAGTCAGGTTTGGTGTAATCAAGGATGGCCTCCTATTGTGAGTGACGATAAAGATTTCCATCGCAAGGTATGTGATGCTTCGTCAGTGATAAGTGAAAATGCTGATTTTTTGGTAGTTTGTTCAATGCGATAAGTACGCGTCGCAAGTTGGGGTGGTTCAAGACCGTGCTAACGTTCGTCTATCTGATAGCTGCGATGTGTTCTACCATTATGGTTGCGTCGGCATAGAAAAAGGTGATCCACGCTTGCAACCTGTTGGGTTGTTCTTGTGTCCGCCTTGCGCCGGTGTCCCAGTGCAACAACGTAAGCTAGGGGACATTGTCACAGATATGATATGCTAAATTTGTTTTAGGTCTCTGGCGACGAGGCACAAACGATGCCCATCAGCCCCACAACTGTGGGAGGTCTGATTGCGGTCAAACCGATACCAATGATGACGAGTTCTTTGTTGAGCGGATTATTGGAAGGAGACCACGACTTGAGAGCAGTGGTCACCTTTGGCTCATCAAGTGGGATGGGTTAGTCTTATATCCGCCTTTCCCCTTGAGTAAGAGTCTGACCTTTTCTGCTTGCTCAGTTACCATGTGAAAGACGCCACCTGGTCCACGGACGAAGACATTGGAGATGCAGGCAATCTCATCGAAGAGTTTGAAAATGCTGCCCGGCGGCAAAAACTGTCTCTTCGGACTCAACAGGCTGTACTGCTGAAGGAGGCTGTTGACGGCGGATGGATGCCGTGAATTAGCCTACAGTCTTCCTTAAACTACTTACGATTGTATTATGCTACTCACGACCAATGTAAAATGCACTGCCCTGCCGAGTGTTCTTCGAAGGTGCTGAGCATAACATGTTGTATGGCAATTAGTGCAGATGTGACCCGACATATGGTGTGAGCAATCTTGACACTGTACAGTAGGAATAACCGTAACCCATGAATCAAAGGATTTCTGGGGCGGCTAGAAGACTATTAGTATTGTGCCTGTCATACGATAGCACTGGAAAGGTCCAATCCGCGTGCCAGACAAGTGGCGCACTCGTTAACGGGGCGACTACCTTGAGCATAGATTCCGACGGGACTACCTTGATCACGGTCTATGGAACTCTTATCAATGGGTCGCAATTCAAGGGACCGGAAAGCAGAGACGGGAGGATGCGCTCTCTACGTCCGCGTCGTTCACTTGGGTATTCCAGAGTGGAATCAACGTCTGTCTGTAAAATCGAGTGTTGATCACACGTAGCATTCATGACAAGTTTATCGATCAGAAACCTTCTCCCAAAGGACCGTCATCGTCGTCCAGATCTCCGCCACCCTCTTGTACCTGCTTGGCCAGCTCCTTCTCGCGTTCCCGTGCGCCCTCAGCAGCCGCCAGTTCCTTACGGTGAGCATTGAGAGGATAGCGCATGGCCTGTGGAAAGATAACAAGAGCGGTGTTAATACGACCGACTACACCGAGTAAATGAACAGAAACTTACCTTCACGCTCTGGTTGTGCAACTCCAAACAATAGCCGATTCTCCGTTGGAAGACCTCAGCCACCTCCGGCCCATACCCGCCCTTCTGGCCACCACATTCCATCCACCCTTTCTCGTGAACGATACGTCCGTCGATCACACCGTCACGGATCGCTTTCCCGACAATGTACTCCGCGTCCTCCTCCGAATCAAGGTGTAACTTGACGCAGATGTCGCGTAGAGAAATGCGGGAGTATGAGAGAGACAGCCTCCGAATTCCGGTCTTGATAACGTTCTGTCGTAGTCGACCAATGAGTGTATAGGTTTTGTCCGCCTCGAAGAGCGCTGCATGTTTGGACAACGTGGCTTGGAACTGGGATAGTGAGCCAGTGCGCACTGCCGTCACGATATCGTAGTATGCACTCAAGGCTTTCTCTAGTACGGGGTGTCGGAACAAACTTCGCTCTGGAATGTCACCCATCAGAAGCTCCACCACAACCGAAAGTTTGTGCACGGCTTGGTAGAATCCTGGGGCAACCTTCGCTGGTGGGGCGCGCCTGATTGCCTGCTGTAAATTGGTGTGGGCTGCAGTGTAGTTCAGTTGGACCACCTTGATACGCCCGAGGTAATAATGATAGCGGGCGAACTGAGAGTTGGATGCAGAGGCCGGAAAAGTGGTTTTCGAAACAAGCTTATCCGCCTGGTCGTACAGACTATAATGTAGATAACTGCGCAGAAGGCGGTTGATGAGTGACGCCTGAGTCTCATCGTCGTGCCGGAGAGCAGATGTTCGCTGCGCAGCGAGGAATATGCTGCAGCAGTTGAGCGGACAAAGTTGTAATCGCGACAGGAATAAACTTACGGTCTAGCATCCGCTAGTTCCCCAGCAAGCTCATATGTACGCTCAACAGCGTACCAAACCTTCGCCGCTATGGGGTCCATGCTACGTCTGTTCAAAGCTTGCATTTTCGAGACTGTATTTTGGGCGAGTTCCATAGCCTTCCCATGAGTACTTGGGGATGTCAACAGGTGATGAAGGATGAGAAGGCGCAGGTAGATCTCGCACTCCGGAACAGGTTCAGAAGTGGCTTTGCTCGGGGTAGGGGTCGTGTCAATATCCATGGAGTGATCAGCAGAAGATGTAGCAGGTAGCCACGATAACAATGTCTTCTTGGTGGATGATTCTAATAAGAGTATGCGTGGGTCGCACGTCGCAAGGTATAGACAATAGTAATTACCACGAACCTTTGGGGTAGACCTCCTCCACTGCATCACGGAGGACCGCATCATCCAATCGTTTCCTCAAGGCTGTCAACGTCCTCAGAACGCGCATAGTAAATCTGGGCTCAAGGGTTGCAACAGCGCGCTCGATGAGTGCAACATTAGACTTGATCTCGACGGTAGGTGATGGCGGTATAGGCTTTGGATCCTGCTTTGGTTTCTCAGTATCCGGAGGCTTGTCTTCGTGTTTCATTTCGACGTCAGTCATGGCAGCCGTATAACAGAGCGGACTTTGGTCACAAGCAAGTTGTGAACGACGCGCGTCCAAGTCCACGACCGTGACGCGTCCCGATGATCAACTAAAAATGTAAAGATATATTCTTGCTTAGGAGAGAATTTGACGTAAGTCTCCATAGCTAAGTGGTTATAGCATGCGATTGCAGCTTAAGTTATCGCAGGGTCCCGTGTTCAAATCACGGTGGGGACTACTTTTATTCCTCGAGCTTCACTCGCGTTCTACGGAGGATCAAACTTCCCGGAGGGAACTTCATGAGGAACAACCACTGAGCCCCAGTCGAAACCAACAAAAAAGGAATCGAATACCTACCAACTAGATAGAATTTAATCGAACTAGATCGAATAAACGCTGCAATTCCTCGAATAAACACAAATTTGCCGCGAGTCTGCCTCGCATCATTTCCAAATCAGGTAGGCAGATGGCTGCTCTCGTAGCGGCGGCTTCTGACCTTGAGAGAGCTCGGCTAGCTGCCTTCAGCCGTGCTCGCGTGCGCTAGCAGCTCGAAGTCCACCGCGCGACTTGCTTGAGATTCTGTAAGTTCCTCGAATTTCGCTGAAATCTGCTCTGCTGTCGGACGCGATCACATGACTTTGTCGATTTTAATATTCGAACTCCGCTATAACTCAGACATTTTGTGAGTCGCAACTCCTTTGCTCATTCTCTCTGTACTGTTAAATCAAGTCCATCCTCTCACTCATTTTCGTCCGGCTACAACCAACCTACGCAACAATATTGTGTTCATCGCTGGACATGGCACCACCGCGGGGATGCTAACTCTCAGACTAGCTTGCGAGACATGTTGATGTGCAAACTCGGCTTCGCGAAGAGGTCGGAGCCACCCTTGCTGCCGCCCATGCGTGAGGCGGAGCTGTCCGTGGAAGATATGGAGAGTGTGCTGTATCTCCAGGGGGCGGTGAAGGTACGTGATCACCTTACTGTCCGATGTCGTGGGAATAGAGTTTCAAGCAGATGTGCTGCAGGAGACTTTATGACTGCACCTTACTCATTCCCAGATCACTCGGTCAGCGGGTTGCTCAAGGAGTCGCGTAAGTTCCGGGCCAAATTTGTGATTAGTGAGTGGCATAGGTCATTCGGTACGCTTCTAGCTAATCCACCCTGCCAAGGGTCTTTGCAGATGCATATATGCACTGCACGAGAATGACATAGGAGACCCAGAGATGACGCCCCACCCAGATATTCTAGCTGCTGCCCGATTGGTGAGTGTTTTGTCATCGGCAGCGCCACAAGGCGCCTGGCGACAAGGTTTTCGTACGATACGTGATTTTCAGGTATGACGCAGTAGCGGGAGGACAGGAGGAGGAGAGGGGGAGGGGGGTTATTGGGATAGATGGTGTGTGATGGGATTCAGTGGATATGGATGGAATTCAACGGATATGGATGGGAATCGATGAATATGGTGCGGGATTGGCGAGAGTGAGACAATCAATAGTATTCGATGGTAATCAAATGTATTCATACATGTTTGATGGTATTTGATAATTTTATATATGGCAAAATTGGGGGGAATGAATAAGATGATTGAAATGGATCGATTATATTTGATTAGTATCGATTAAGGACATACATGTGTATTCTAGGAACGGTGTCTGTATCGATGGTATTCAATGGGGTTAATCTCGGATCGAAGCCAGCGTCGATTTCTCGAATACCATCGAATAAGTGGAGCCAAATCATCTGAATTCAACTGTAATCGATTGTAATCACTGCAATTCGATTTTTTTCATGTTAGTTTTGACTGGGACTGAGCGCGTGAGACCGGCCTAAATTCGACCGGTAATTCCGACCGTCAAACGAATGAATACCAGCCACCAACTGGTCGAAAATGTCCCGAAACTTGACCGAAACCACCGAATCAAAATTAGGCCGAGATATTGCGAAATCCGACCGGTGCTAGAAACGGCGGAATTTGGCTGAATCCAACCGTTTAACGGTCTATTTTCATTCATTCAAGCCCTTTCTGATATTCTAGCCAGTTTGTACATGGGGAAAGCAATGTATTGTGTATATAATCTACATGTACATGTGAATACATACCAGCTACTACATCCTGATATCCCGAGCCTCAACTAGGGCCTAAAGGCTAAACTCATGCCTAAGCCTAACCTCTTAACCATCTTACCCTCCTTCCCCAGAAAGCACCACTATGTGTTTGTCATTAGCCAGCATGAAGCATTCTCAAGTAGACATTGCACGTACGCGGAGTCCCCCGGGGTTCATAGCCGCAGCAGAAATCCAACCATGCTATAATTCACTCGAGAATCAGTAAATATATACTCACAATATATCACTAGGCAATTAAAGGGCTTCTAAATCCAAAAGTATAAGCTCATCATGTCAGAGAAGAGATGTACATACATGCCTATAAGCCCATGACCCCAGCCAACTCATCATATACATGTCCAGTGCGACACCCGTGAAGACCTGTGTCTGTAAGCCTAACAAGAAAAGATAAACCATGACATACCTGTATACTAGAGACTCCGCGAGTACCACGGCAATGAGGAATGCATCAGACGGCCCATAAAGACACCCGGATGATGGGCAGCTGCAGAGGTAAGGTGAACAAGAGCGCGTTCATTTCTTTAGTCCGACACTGGCATTCCCACGATAGCCGTGGAGTATCAACAGACGAATTTCGACCGTTCATCGAACTAAACGCCCGGATTGTAATTTCAACAGGTTTTCCAGCCGAAACCTGTTTTGACCTTATTCGACCACTTACCGGCCGAAAGTACAGAAACGATCGATTACCGGTCTAATTTAGGCCGGCCTGGTGCACACAGTGAACGGGCATAAGGATCTTCTACAAAGAGGCTAGCTCTCTGTCCAGCTTCAGTCATACGTCTCGATCCATGACATCGATGATCCCTTGCAACTAGGGATCAGTTGACACGAGATCCATCCAAGATTAGACGCGGCGCCGCACGAAACTAACCGTGCAGCCCTTCGAGTCATATACTAGTATTATAAGTATAGCGCGCTTGAAGGTCGAGTGGGTACGGCGCGTTTGACGACTCACATGCCCTCGGAAGCAGAACCAAATGCAAGGAGCATGGCAGAGGCAGTGCATGTCACTGCCGGACCAAGCAGGAAATCGAGTCGGCAACGAACTTATGATGCAAAGAGAGCAAGAGGCGAGATCTCTTGCGCAGAATGCCGCAGGTTCGTGATATAATGTTCAGATTATTGAAGACTCGGACCTTACCTTAGGACTTGAACTTGCAGACTGAAAATCAAGTGCGATAAGAACATCCCTTGCAACACATGTGTCAGGAGAGGATGCGCAAACATTTGCCCCAATGGTCCAGCGGTTCTCTTACCCACCGCAATCTCTGATTCACTGACAACTTGTCTCTCTAGGAAGTCTATCAGGCGGACAAGGGACTAGGTAAGATACAATTCCTAGATGCGAGCATCGTGCCAACGCCTCGCTTGCGATGCAGATTAATCCTAGCAGATACCGAGACTTTACACCGGAAAATTACGCAGCTTAGCGAGCGCGTCAGACAGCTAGAAGATGCTCTTGCTATAATGCAAGCGAGCGTATCCCACGAAAA